ATCTTTGAGACTGATTGGAAATTTCTAGGACAGTTGTTGAAAATTTATAATTACCTGCACATTCGTTTAGGAGAGTGACATAAGTCTAACCTTGATTTCATCATAAATGTAAGAAGGTTCTCGATCCAACCACACAGTTTCTGGTAGATCTAAGCGTAATAATATGATTCTAGGCTCAACTGCTGCGCAAAAGCCATAGAGGTCGGTGGGTTTTCTTCCGACTTACGTTCGCCTGTACATCACTTATGACATATGACCGCGTACAATAACCACCACAAATCTGTACGTGCACTACTTTATGAGTAGTAGAGACAAAGAGAGTACAACAAAAGACGAACTACAAAACAACTAATTTACTTGTTTTGTGCCTTACATATGACAAATCAGATGTGAGATAGCAAAAGAAATACCATTTAGGCTTTCGAACTTTCCTTTTTGAGACCTGAATAATAAGCTATGAAAAAAACATGCAAAAATAGTTCTTTATTCTTGATGAAGAAGCACGAAAAGTATAATCCAATTATCCCTTTCGATGACTTTCGGAGATTGCTCTAATTGTCAAAATTTAAATCATGTAACCCAAAATCAAAATGTTCGGCTGCTCATTTCAACTTTTATATCGATGAATAGATTTGATTTGTAATTTAGAGAGCTTTATTTGACTATTACATTCCTATGATAGGAACAAGGAGCTAGTGACCTAAAAGTGATCTCGGCGCTTACTGTAACATTCAACATCACTGCCACGCAGAGAAAACGCTTTACTCAATTAGAGCACTGTTATAAGTCAAAAACACTGCAGTGAGTGCCGTGAAGCTAACTCCTAAAAAAGATCAGAAATTTCTACTACATGCATTTATGATTAATTCATTCTTCTCTCATGTGCCAATACTCCTAATTTTCGTGTTAAGTAAAACTTGTTGCAGGGTGCGGAAATATATTCGTCGCGTGGAAAATGTGTTGTTGCCTGGTATGCAACATAGTCGTAGAGATGAGGCAGAGCTGACTGTTATAATGTTCGTTCTAACTTTCAAGTAAAAGGCTTTTAGCGAGCTGGCAATGTTATATGTGCATGTTTTCTACTTAGGCTAATCCACTGGAATTACTTCATAAGGTAGCATCAGGTTCACACGATGTTCCTCTATTAGGTTCTTCTCATTCACATCCCAGTCCGCTACAAGTTTAGGAGGAAGTCGGTTTACATAAATAGCTGTT